AACATTCTTATAGCTGCTCTGCCATTGGCTCTTACCGAGCATCATGCTGGCATTCCATTGGCTAAGATGGACTTTTGCCCTATGTGTCCATGTATGCAGATAGATAGATATGTGTCGATGCAGCGTCCTCGTCATTCGCCCCTTGGGCCATGAGGTGATAGTTTTACGTAAATGTGAATCAACCAGAAAAAGTGTTCACCAGTCGCGTGATCGCTCATTATGCTGATGTTTGCCTTGAACATTTTAGAAGGATTGTTAAAAGCCGATAAAAGCAAACGTCCTCGGATCAGTTTGTTCCAAAATGCCAGGCAAAAACCACTTCTGAGAAAGAACATAAACTAAAGAGGGGAAAAAAACGATGAGGATGCGGTTAAAATTTAAATCACCATCATTTATATTCTTTACTGTATTCTGCTTGTATTCTTTGGCATTTGACTCAGCATGACTTACCGGTAGATTTGTTCTTGGTTTTGCTGTTTGGTGTACTTGTATTCTTTGGCATTTGACTCAGCATGACTTAGATTGTTCTTGGTTTTGCTGTTCGGTGCTTTCTACTGTTTTTATTACCGATTTGCTTTACTGTTTGTTGTATATGTTAAATTGCTCCATGTACAGCACTTTGTATGCAGCGATGGCTGTTTGAAAGTGCTCTATAAATACAGTTGAGTTGAGTTGAGAATTAGGGCATTTACATGGAAAACGCGTCTTATACAATTTTCTAGTTCAGAAATTTCGTAAGTATTTCGTAACTGTATTTAAAAAGTACTGTAGTGCAAACTGGCACCGCTGCTTACGGATGGCTGCCGTTTTTGTGGCGGGGAGGAGGCACAGGCAAAACGAGAGATGACAGGAGATAGTTGTTGTCCACTTGTGTACATGTAAACATTTGTTGAAGTGCCAAAAAATATATATACAGTGTATATATTGCGACATATCGTCTATTCAGCAATGCATTTTTGGAGCTTCTGAATAATCCAAGTGCCGACTTGGAGCCAGTTACGAGAATGAGTCATTTCAACACTACATTTCATTTTGTCTGTGTCATTTCGGCATACCTTGTGCCCAGATCAGTTTTCAAGGTGTGCTGTCAGCGTTACGCAGGATGGACACATACATCTAATTCCCACGCAATCAGGATGAGTTAAATCAAACAAAACATGCCTTTTCTGCATTTGCTGGCTTGCCCCAAAATCATCAAATTAACAGATTTATTTTGTGTAACTCGCATTATTTGCCTTTTCCCCTGACACTTCCAATTCCAGCACTTGAAACTTTTTGCACTCACGGTGCTCTCTAAAATTCTGAAAATCATCAGCTTTTACACCCTGTGCCACAATCATAGTACATCAAGCGTCAAACGACTAGCGCCAAAAAAAAAAAAAGCCCGTCAATCTGCTCGAGTGAACGTACAATTTGGCGGCCACAATTTGGGATCATCAAGCCCAAAAAGTGCAATCTGTGGGTACAAAGCGAGCATCTGCACAGGGGCTCTTGTTACCAGAACATTAACCCGGACAGATGTTATGATGGGCTGTGTGTGTGTTGAGTCTAAGTACCAGGGAGATTTGTAGACAAGCTGTTCTTTCCTTACTCACCCCAAGTCTACGTTCTGTCACCTTGGAAACCTGGTCTGTCTCATCTCATTGTGGCCCGGCCTTGAAACTCTCCTGTTGGGTAGAAATGATCTCGAAATGATCATTCATGCCTTCGTCTCCTCTGGTCTTGACTATTGCAATTTTCTCTTCTTCAACTCTCTCAAAAAAATCATCATTCGACCACCTCACAGTATTGTTTTTAGAACCCGAACATCTATTGTATGCTAATTGTCATTAGCATAAACTATGGCAGTGAACCCTCACTATAACGCGGTTCACCTTTCACGGCTTCGCTATTTCACAGATTTTTTTTTTTTTTAAACAGTGCATTGGGTTCTGCATCCCGATTGGCTAAGGGACTGTAGACCAATGTCAACAGTCTCCATCCCTTGTCTCTGCCAAATTTACTTGTGTCACAAAAACAGGTTTTGATCTTTTGTTTCATTCTATTGTAAAGTATAATAATTGTAAAAAAAAATGTAACTATCGTGATTCTAAGTTTATGGTAATATTAAAATAATGTACCTTTCTGCATGATGGTAAAAATGACAATGTATCTTATTTGCAAAAGAGTCCTCATTTATTTAAATTATTGTCCCCCCTGCTGTTATATTTGAGGATTTCATTGAGTGGCAGGAAACGGTTACTGTTGACGAGTAATTACAACAGTCTGAGGAAAGTGTCGAAAATGTGAGGTACATCCAATTCGATTTCCGCCAATTACTCCTAAATTCCTCTTTAGAAGGCAAAGCGGTGTCCGGCCATGACTAATGTGTTTAATGTTGTTGAGATGCATGTTGTACATTTTTTAATTGTATATTTGTGTCCTGGTTTAGAGGACTTTCGGAAATGATGTTATTGTTTGGTTGAACACAACAAAAATGAAAAATAATTTGTGTGAGCACAATGCATCATGGCATGTATTAAAATTTCTCGTGACCATCGTTCATTCCTTTTCAAGCGTGGCAGAAAAGGAAAGAAAATTGTGAAACGATTAAGTTGAGCAAAAGTGACAAAAAGTGTTGCAAAAACGGTTTAATTACTTGCCAGGGAAGTTTTTATACCGTGTAATATTGTCGAGTATTTGTTTTAATATTACAGTAAAATTGTCACGGGGCAATGGATGTTTGAACACAACCGGTGAAGCAACACAAGTAGGCAGATATAAAAATACAGGTAAGTATAATTTATCGTCTGTGAAATACGACTAATATCTCTAATATTGTAGCTTACTTAGTCGGTTGTGAAACTCTTCGTTCTGTGCGTGTGTCTACGGTATTAAACTTTGGTGGACAAAGCACACACAACAGAAGGAGCACAATGTGGGGGAGCTGGAACAGATTCATGGCATTTCATTTCATTGGGGTAATTGATTTGAGATATGAGTATTTGAGATTTCTCACAAATCCAGCTACCATTGTATAGTGGGTAAGGGAGTGATTACCAACACAGCCTAGGTGAAGCACTTTCCAAATCCTCTCTGTGAAAAGTGCTACATAAATAAAATGGACTTACTTGCTGTTGGAGGGGCCGCAGTCTCACACCGTGGTTGAGAGCAGTCTTCTTTTCTCAGGGTACGGAGGAGCTTTGCGGGGATCCTGCGTTGTTTTTGCGCAGTCTGAGAGTCTGTTGTGAGGGTAAGGCGGAGGCTTGCGGCCCCTGCGGCCTTGCCCAGATGGCGGTTTGACGGCCCCCGCCAGAGGCGGCCCCGCCGATGACGCTCGCCTCTCTCTATCCGCGTGGACCGGCGTCTCCGGGTCTGTGGGTGGGCAGCTGGCAGATGGGTGTCGAGATGTCGCGGACGGACAGAAGCGCACGGTCGCCGGGTGGTCGTTTCGCGGCGGCTCGATGATGACAGATGGGCCGAGCACGGCGGTCGGATGACATTTTGGGGACACGGGGGAGATGGGGCTGATCATGACGGAGGATGAGGCTCCTGGGGATGATGGAGGAGACTTGGGAAGGTTGACTGTCAGCGGGGAGAGTCCGGGGGTGGGCGGCCGGACGGGGAGGCTTCTTTGAGGGGACAACGTGGGGGGCGGCAGAGTTGAAGAATCGGGATTGTTGACCAACGTTAGTAGCCCTCCGCGTCGGGGAGAACTTCCGAACCGAATAGTTCTGGTCAACTCTGTGCTCAGTTGGCATGGCAAGTCAACTGGAGGCGATTCCCTCCGAATGGGATGGTCTCTCCTCAGAGTGAAAGTGGCCCCCCGGTGATCTATTGACACCGAGGGCCTCGGATGGGCGCTGATCACCGTCACTTCATTAGAGCCAGAAGAGGAGCAGCTCTCGCCTCCTGCTGACTGGTGCTGTTCTTCTTCATCCAGGTCGATGCAGGAGGTCAGATAGTCGATCTGATGAACTACCTGGACAACACCACACAGTGTTAAATAATACGTTATCTACATCATACGGTGCCAAAAGCACTTTACAAAGCCTGACGTTCGTCCAACCATCCATTATCTGCTTGTTCAAAAGTAACTTCAATTGGGTGAAATCGCTCAACCAGCGTCGGGACCAAAATGTAATGCACTGGGTTGAGGTTTTGAAACAACACACTGGGTCAAGATTTTGGTCCAACAAGGAGTAAAAACAATCCATACTGATGAGTTAAAGCTACCAAGAAATGAGTTATCTGGTTAAGAGTATAGCTTTGGTTAAAAATAATATTCATTTTATTACTGACATTTTCTAACACGAAAAAACAACTTTCCCCTGTCAGGGGTCACCATAGCAAGTGACTTGTGATAAGAAGTTTAGTGCAGATCGTTACATGGTTTCTAGCTCGCTGGCTAACTGGGGAAACTTCTGTCTGGGGCTAACCTCCTTCGGTTGTTGCCGTGCGGGATGGAGTGAGCAAGGACGGAGGTGGACACGCACCGATGGAATGCCGAGGTGGGCTTCATAGACCCTTGGCATTTTATTTGATGCTCATTAACTGGCTAACTAGCCGCCATGTTAGCTAAAACTTAGCATGCGCACTCCCCACATACCGATGTACTCAGCGTCATGAACGTCCTATTACATTCTAGTCTGACTGTAACAATATGTTGTTCTGATCGAGTCCAAAAATTACGATTCAGTGATGGTTTTTCCATACCCGCTTGAATTCTGTTTCGAATCGCCACCGATTCGTGAAAGCCCGAGATATTCGGCTTTCCGTTAAAATGTCAGGACAAACGTAAAGTGCGCTAGAACCTTTTCAGGTGAACTTTATTTGACTTTCTCTAAACCTTTAAATGTACATTTTCGAACCGTTTGATGTTTCGTTACATTCTCTAATAAGGAGCCGAACATCCAAATTTCAGAACCGTACATGTTCTTCATCTAACACATAATTATCAGCTAAGCACAGCTCATCCATGCTATTAAGTAGATAATGTGCTTTTGGATGATCCGACCATGGTTTCATCGGATAAGAATGTTAAGTGCAGGGTTTTAATTATTAGGTTTCAATCATAAACGCAACCTGTGGGGTGAAAAATATCCTCCCAAAGCCCAAAATGTGCGGCTGTTATTTGGCACACTTGAAACACTGACTATTGCTTATTTAGAGACAATTACATTGATGAGAAGCAGTGAATATTTTCTTGTCATCAGATTCCATACTGGATGTTCCTGTTTCATTATATAAGTTAAACAAATGCATGATGGTAAATGGGTTAATAAATGAATGCATTTCTATTTCCTAATTTAGTACATCACTTTCTTTGAGTCATATGTCCAGCTCCACGCAACAGTGTTTTATTGGTGGAGCGCAGAAAAGTTGTGTTAAAGTCGGTATACGCAACATTAGTGTGTTTACCAAACTTAATGTACAAGGGTTGACATCAAAATATTTTTTTCCCCTCCAGTCGTGACACTTGAAATGTCAACACAAAAAGGCGAATCCATAAACAGATAAAGCCACAGAACATTAAATTGTTGGAAGTTTGATGTTTTTTTTTTTTTGTTTGTTTGTTTTTTTTTTACATGAAGGAGAACGTTAATGCACATGATGAAAATTGATGATGCTGTTTTTCTTTTTCTTCCCGGTACAGAATTTATGCTTGAAGGTTTCTCTGTACAATTAACATTGCTTTTTTTTTAATCTCTTGATGAAGAAAGCACATAAGATTACTGTCATGTGAAGTTAATTTGTTTAGATTCTAGCCCTAATCAAATTCTAATTCCAGTCAGTTTCTCCTGTACAGGCAATACTTTCACGCACTAAGTCAATGATTCCCAACCGCTGTGCCCTCACAAACTCTTCAATTTAACTTCATTGGTCTGAAAATGATTATCTATTTGTGTCAAATAGGACGTGTTTGTTCGTCTATTTATTCCGATGTCATATCAGCATAGTGAGCGATCACCGGACTGGTGAGTGGTGAATGACGAGGACACTGTATCACACATTTCTACCTATTTATCTATCTACACACATAAACAGATTTGGTTGAAGTCCCTCTTAGCCAATGGGATGCCGGGATGATGTTCGGTAATAGCCAATGGCAGAGCAGCTATAAGTACGTTGCGCTCAGGAAACTCGGAGTTGCGAGCAGCACGCCACACTTTATTTTGACCTTTCGTATCTTGAAATTTCTTTTGTAACAAGGGACAATATTTTCCTGTTGAGACGTTTTGTAACTTGAAAATTTACTCATTTACTCCCAAAGACGTTTTTAAAAGTCTTTTCAGACTTGGTCCAGAATTGTCTGGGACTGAATGAGTTAAGAGACGTTCGGAAGTTGAGGTACCACTCACTGTATTGACAGACAAAACTGAATGCTCTTTCACCTGCTGGCAGAAGGTGGAATTAACCTGCACGCGCACCTGTTGCCATTCATACAACACAGTCGGTCATGGCTAACTCAATTCGGGATTAAATTGAGACGAGAGCATCGTTATTTCAGCATAGATATTGTTGTGACATTTTTGCTTGGTGGTGTTTACGTGAGAGCCTTCGGATGTAAAAGACGTGCTTTGTCTCAATAAAGGTTGGGAAGCACTGATGTAAAATCCAGGAACTGACGGTGAGTAAGATAATGATCGCAAATGGGACGGTGGATATTTATATAATAAGACAGTCCTGGAGCTGGTGTTTTTGTTTGGCACACATACACTCACACGGAATAAAATAATGACAGTTGCGAGGATTGGAGAAAATTACTCTGGGGAAAATGTTTGACCTTTCCCTCCACCTGTGCGCAGATAAGTCCTGAGCTGGAACAGAATTATTATTGTTTTTTTTTTTTTGTATGTTGTAAAAAAAAAAAAAACATCCTTGCTGATGTCAGAGGATGACCTGTTTTTTTCCCCTCCCATCATCTAGCTTTGCGGCGGAGGCTTTTGGTTTTACTTTGAAGTGCAGAGTGAGTGTTTGTGTGTGTGTGTGTGGCGTTGGACTCGCAGCTTGTTATAATGTCAGGAATCACCAGAGATAAAAGAGCTCAGGACCCTGATTTACTGCTGCTGCTGCTCCCAAGTGTGTTGATTATAAACAATCACGGTTCTTCAAGTGGTGCCGATTAATGCTGAGAGACGTTCATATCGTCACAGAGCGGCAAAGCAGATGCTAACTATTTGGGCTTCAGTTTGCACGAGTGACGACGAATGATGTGGTCTCAATGATACCAACATGGTCAATATTGCAGCAAGTTTGTTCGTTACGTAGAATCAGCTTACCGGTAAATGACACATTATGGGAAATGGACTTCCTAATTCCATGTACACGAATTGTTGTGCATCTCTCTCTCTCTCTCTCTCTCTCTCTCTCTCTCTCTCTCTCTCTCTCTCTCTCTCTCTCTCTCGCCCACCGTAAATATTTTATCTGCCTTTTTTCCCGAAAATGTCTGCGTGCGTCTGAAAGCAAGCTGCACGTCTTAACGAATGTACATAAAAACTGCCCTCACGTCGCTCGCCGAAGAATCAGAGCCACGATATGAAGTCTGGATGAACGACTTTGGAAAAAATTGGTGAATTTTTTTCCCCCTCAATATTGTGATTTATTATGCGATTATTTTTTTAAGGTCATCGTCCCATGTTCTTAGCAAACACAAGTAAAAAATGCATCTGTGTGGCAATAAACAAGACAGGATTTATGATAAATTAAGAAATTATTTCTTTTATATTTTATTTTCCATTTGCCAAAGGAACTATGAATAAATATGAAAGGTACTTTATCCACTTCAATTAGCGTTGTTAATTTACGAAACACTTTAAATTGCAGTCGCTTAATTGAATTGAATACAACTTTATTGTCAAATGTGCTCAGCGTTCACTATGACAAATTCCCCAAATTCTACCGAACAATTGTGGCCTAAATAATAATAATCAATTTAGTGACTTATGTGACGCCACACCTGTTGGGCAGATTGCAGGAATAATGCAAACAAATCAGCGGCTTTGTACACACACACACACACACACATTTTCAAACCATTTAAATTTGGTGCAAGGTACAGAATTATCATTTCCATTAACTCTTGTCAGTCTACATGACTGTTATGCTAATGAGAAGACAGTAATCCGTTAAACGGCATAGCAAAACATTGTCTTTCAACTTTTGCTCTACTGTTGGTAGCGGCTGTCAAATGGATTGAACTTAAAAGCAGCAGCAGGATCATTAGAATTCCACCAGTAATTGGTTCCTAAATCAAACCGAGGGACCGGGTTCATGCAACAGAATGACAGAACAGGCCCTTTGAAAAACAGAAATGCGACAAAAAGTCTTCTGTGCCTTGTCTGTCTTTGATGTGTTGACTCCTTTGTGAAAATTGGGGATTTATTAATTTTTTTGTCACAGAAGCGTCAGCTTGGTTGCCAACCTCCTGTCGAGGCGATATGTTCTTTCATCAGTGATATATCAACACAAGCACACGCTAACCGTTCCCCCCTGACCCCGGATGATGAGGTTAATGCCCGAGCTTGCGGATGAAATGCGGATAATGTGCAACGTGAGGGCCACGGCAATAAATGGATGGGGGAAAAGCGGTCCAGCTGAGCCTCGAACAGCATCTGTCCGGGAGAAAGAAAAGTTTAGAGGGAAGGGACGGCGCAGGAGGAGGAAGAACACAGAAGCAGGTGGATGCTTCGCCTAATGTCACAGCGCATCATCTCTGGAAGCCCGTGAACGCATGCGGTAAATGAGGCGTGACTCTCGTCTCATTCACTCCCATAAAGGAAAAAAAACTAAAACAACTATGCATGACTTGAGAGCAAACACCGCACATATTGGAGATGAGAGATGGGAGTGGGAGCAAGAGCGGAGTTGCGGGAATAATTTGCAGACCGTGTTGGATGCACCCAGCCCAAATGCTGACTCTCTAATGCATATTTAATTCTGCTGAAGGCGTTCGGTTTGCGAATGCAAAGTCATATTAATGTCTAAAGACGTACATGTTCTAAAAAAAAAAAAAAAAATCCTTTGGTTCAGTTGGATTTACTTAATGTGTCACGCATGATTAGAATGTGTTAAACTAATGTATATCATTTGAATATTTAAGAGTAGACTTTTTTTTTCAGTGCAGCGGTGTTGAATGGGCATAATGGTAAATAAATATAATTTTTTTAAAAAGTACAAATAAATGTGTACTTTTAAGGGTCCACTGGCTTGTCACCGGGGCAGCACATTCTGCACAAATGCATTTTTATAAGTTGTAGTAAGACCACTCACCAGTAGATGGCGGACATCAACATGGAGATGCTGTCAGCCATGATTGTTGTGGTATTAACAGTGGCTCAAGTTAATGGAAACTCTTTCAAAATGGAGAAAGAGATCCAATGAAACTGTTCACTGTTCACAGTTACATAAACAACATGCAATGCCAATTTAACATGACAGTTAATTAAAAAGTCACACATTCGACACGACAGGTAGCATAACCACATTCAAACGATAACGATGAACAACTTTACGGAGGGGAAAGTTCAGCATTGCGTGCCGCAATAAAGCACCCTTTTTTTCTATGAGTGTTGCCTTGACTTACGACTTTAACTTGTTCGTTCTGTGAACAAACCTGTAACTCAATTTACTTGTGCAGTGGCGCCCTGAGATACGAGTGACCCGACTTAGAAGTTTCTCAAGACAATAATTGTCATTTAGCCGCTTTTTTTCACTTTACTTACGGCCCATTAGCTTAATGCTAACACATAATAGCAAATGACATAGAGAGGCTAATGAATAGCATTAGCTTGGTTGACTTATATCATTTCAAACGAGTGATATTTCAACATGAAAGGGGCAGCAATACATATAGACCGACAAAAAAAATACTCGCATATATTCTTTATCCTCTAAGAAAAAATGATTACTATTACTGCAACTCACCGAGTCACAGTAGTTATGTTTGTGTGCCTGACTGTATTATCCTGACCCCCCCAGTGTCTAAGTCATGCACACCAGAAGGAACCTCAATGGATTCACGATGATGCACAAACTATTTAATTCTTTATATTCCATTTCATAAAGTGACATTGTTGTACATTTGTGGCATGCGGGAGGAAGGAGTACCTGGAGAAAAGCCACAGCAGCACGAGGTGAACATGCAAACTCCACACAGGAATTACCCCTCGAGTCAACCCCCGAACCAGTTCTGCAGAATCGATTCAAAATATCTTTACCTCTTTCATTTCCTGTTGAACATCCCTCAGTGCAGTCAGAACCTGCTCCAGGTTATCCACCACCCGTTTGAGCTGGTTCCGAACCATTTTTCGATTGCACTCCGTCCCCGTCCTCTGTGAGTCCTCCTGACTCTTTGGTTTGTGCCGGAGCCACCTGGCCTGGCTCGCGCCCAACGCTGGAATGCGCTTGCCGTGTTTCCCTGGACCTCGCAGAGTGGTGGTAAAGCCCAGACCTTTGTGAGGAACCTCGGTGGAAAAGATGACTCCATTGAGCGGGGCACCGGAGCCCTCCGCAGGTGGTTCTCTGAGCGCGCTCAGGTCCCTTTGGCTCTGACAGTTCCTGCTGATGTAGCTGAAACTAGATCTGAAGCCACGCTGTCCATCTTTCGATGATCCCTGAGGGTTTGAGCTGAGCCACACAGATGACTGCAGGTCTCTCTGATGAATAACATGGCCGGTGTAGTCCCAAACATCTTCCCTGCTTTCCTCCATGCAGACGCCAACCTTAGAGTCTGAACCTTCAGTTAGAAGAGCGGAAGTAGGAACCGGGGGACTTCCCACAAGAGGCCCGTATTTTGTGACCGGGGAGCCAGGCGTGGGAGCGCCGCCGAGGCTAATGGGATCGAGTTCCACCTCCGAAGACTGCTTGGACTTGGCGGGACTGCCTTCCTTCTGTTTTCCCAAGATGTGGTGGCCCCTCAGCACCACGGGCAGCATCCTGGCCATTCCGACGCCGTTGCAACGCAGCTCGCTCTTCTTCGTCTTGTTCTTCCCTGGGATGGAGAAAATCCCGATCCCTTTGGTTCTCTCCAGAGGGGCCAGGTTGTCGTGGAGCTCGGGATTGGATTTGTAGGGCCCGTTGAGCCCCAGGTCAACGCTTTGCTGGGACTTGAGGCTGTTGCGTAGCCACGGGATGAAGTGAGGGGCGTGAGGCTTGAAGGCTCTGTGCTCCTTGGCCACCGGAGCTCTGCTGTCAGAGAACATGCTGACGGGTGATGTCCACGAGAAGCACGGGGGGGACGGACTCCTGAGATAGCGAGAGCTTCCTTCTCTTTTGCCATAAATCTCCTCCCACTTTTGACATCAACTTCGGCAGTATCTCCCCGATCTGTCTTCGCTTCCCACTCCTGCCGTTTTCTCTCCAACTTTTATCCGATTTGCTCCCACTTGCAGCTCATTCTCAAACCACCCGAGCCTCGTTTCCCGTTTCTGATGTTATCGCCCTGTCTCCTTTTTTCTACCTTTTACCACCCCGCTCCTGTCTCTGAAGCCCCTCAACCTCTCTTTTGGACCTGCGTCTCCTCTTGCAGCCCTCCAGCGTCTCACTGGCTCTCAACAGCAGAGGCTTTTCGTCTCTACAGCTCATCTCCACAGCTCTCTCTCTCTCTCTCTCTCTCTCTCTCTCTCTCTCTCTCTCTCTTTCTCTCTCGCCTCCCCCCCTTTGCTCTGCAGCGCACTGCACTGCCTCCAATTCCCACTCTTTCTTCCTCCCACTCCCTCTCACGATTCTAACTCACTGCCCTCATCTCTCCATGTTTCTCTCTCTCTCCGCTGTCAGTCCTTGATCGTCTCCTGTCATTCTAACTGTCCCGTTCGTCTCCCTTTTTTTCCTGCGCTTTTCGTCATCCCGCCACTCCAGGCTCCATCCTTCCCTCCCGCTCCGGCTGAACTCCAATCAAGATGCCAGTGTTATTAATCCCTGGTTAGCCAGTATGTGTGCCCACGTGATTCCTCCTGCCTGCGTCCTCATCTGATTACTCCTTACCCCCGGCTCAGCCCTCCACAATTAAATGCTGCTTTGGCTATCCGAGGGGGTTTTAGGGGAGGGATGCAGGAGGTGGAAAGGGGGCAAATAATTGCAATCTACAAGATCAGGAATTTGTCAGAAACGCTAAGCCGCCCAACGGCAAAGAACAGTAAAAAAGTGTCACGTTTTTACTGTACACCCCACTTGTTTTTTGCAACTTGCATTTGTTGCAATTATGCAGAGACAACTGCTATTTTCGGCTTTCCTCGTCGCTCGAGTTGTAATTCTTGGCAGCGTGGATGAGATTTCTTGTCTCTGACAAGCCTGGAGATGCCTCCCAGGTAGCCTCCTCGCTATTCATGCGGCTGCTCGGGTCCTTCCCTCTCCCATGAAAAGACAGACAACAGCACACGCCTGACAGTTTTGCTGTCTCTCAGCAACGAGCAATTCAAAGCGCCTTTCATTCTGCGAGTCAGCTCTCCAACGTGTCCCTCTGCCAATGCCCTGTTGATATGCCTACATCCTGTGACATGTACAAGATACGTGAAGGGGAGGAGGATTGAGACTCGGGAGGGGTACTATATAATCTGCCAGCTAAGAAGATTCCCGCCTACATGTCGACAGACTGCCGTCCGCCAATAATGACCGCTAGTCTGGATAAAAAAAAAAAAAAACAATAAAGAGTAATAGAGCGGCTTCTCTTAATCCGGTGGAGCTTTCTTGCTCCGCACGGCATACTGGCGCATGCAGAGTGTGCACCAAGTCTGCCTCTGTGTAATTATGAGGATGCTCTTCAGTGAATGAAAAAGCCGACGATAAATACATGTCCTATATGCTCTGCTTTTGCACAGCGACAGGTTCAAGCGCACAACAATGTCACAGCAAGCAGAAGTTCAGGCCTCGGTCTCATGCAAAAGTAATACACGCGCTGGCCACACAATATTAGGGATGTCTGCAGAATCGAATGAGATCCAAGACAGGAGCTGTCTTAAAAGTTACGCCCTGCCAACTATAGTAATGCGCAATTTCCATCAATCGTGAAGTAAAAATATTTTATGATTGTGCTTTTGGTTGCAGTTTTTAATGGCAATGCATCATATTGAGAACAGGTTCAAATGAGGATGAGAGAGACAAGAGATGACATGCAACTCTTTAATATGATGCAACCCGGTGTATAGAAAAGGAATGGATGGATGGAATTTTACAGGACTTACAAGTGGGAAAGGAGAGCTGCAGCCCCTAAACATGAACTGACATAAACCTCATAGTAAGGGCGGAGGATGAGAGAGACAAGAGATGACATGCAACTCTTAGTATGATGCAATCCGGTGTATAGAATTTTAAAGGACTTACAAGTGGGAAAGGAGAGCCACAGCCCCCAAACATGAACTGACACAAACCTCATAGTAAGGGCACTCACGCAGGAGCTGACTTTTTGTGAGAGGCATCATGCCCTCTGTTTTTCTTTTTTTTTTTTTTTGGGACAATACTGCTAATTGTATTCGTCAAATAAAACGGCAAAGCTTGTGATGGCCAAAGACTTCGGCACAGCACTCTCTATTTATTGCCCCTTTTAAGACCTTGAATTTATGTCTCCTAAAAGGCTCTATTTTCCTCCAATCAGACGGCCCCTTGGATGTGGTCCATAAATAACACGGCGGCGAAAGACACAATCATGGGAATAATATAGGTAGCTGTCTCACTTGCAGTCCATTTCAGGTTGGCTGAGCAGCCTCGCTGCTCAGGTGGCCTCCCGCCCTTTATGTTAATGCAGCCGATGTCTGTGACTGGGGCTGACACAACACAGCTTTCAACTGAAAACTGAAAATGATTTTTCTTTCGGTTATCCCGAGTTTTCGAGTGCGAACACGCAAATAGTTGACAACGGGTGTCTAAATGCATATTTTCACCTCGAGCGAAGAAACTTTTGGAGGAGCATTCCCAGCAACTTATTCTCTTCATTTTGAAGCGTTTATCTTGTCTGTGCCTCTTCTAGTGCATAAATTTGGATGTTGGATTTTTTTTTTTTTTGGTATAATCAGATTTCAGCCTACATTTAGAATCTGATGTAATTTAAAGCTTCTGCTACAGCCAAGTTGGACTGGAGCAATCTGCACAAATTCATTTCTTCTCCTTTTTTTAATATGGGCTAATCATCCATTTTGGATTCGTATTTTTATATGTGACCCCAGAGGTCTCGGTGCCTCACTAGTCATGAATGTCACAAGCTACTGGCATGGCATGCGTATTATTGTTTTTTGTTTTAACCGTGGTGTGTAAATTGGGATCATTTTTGGCGACTGTAATTTTCAAGTGATTCATTGTTTTTCATTCAAAAATGGAAATAAAGTGCTTTAAGTCACTATCAAATAAGCATCCCCCAAAAGAGGTCATCTCACCTTGCAAACTTGTCCAAAGCCCAACCTGTTGTCGCCGTAATGTACCTTTCAGTTCCGAGCAAGAGTAGGAGGAACACTGGAGCCTTGCCATCTTGCCCACTTCCTCCTCGAGGCAGCGTAGCATGAGAGCCGCCATGCAAGTGTGTTGGCTCAACTGAACCACCACTGCAGAGAGAGAGATTTTTCCTCGACTTCCTGTGAGCAGCGAGAGAGAGAGAGGGTGAGAGAGAAAGACAGACAAGGACACTGGCAAAAACCTCGCAAAAGCTCGCCTTTGAAGGGCAAAGGTAGCTGGCCTGACTACATTTGGCGTGCAAAATGCCTTTTAGTTACACTGTGAACACCTTGGAGAACTTGCACCAGTGACGTCAAAGAGAATTTTGACATGACTATGTTGTGATAACACAAATAGATCAGTGGCATTTTGTATTTGAAAAAAAATGGCACGGCATTGACCTTTTATGAAGCTGCAGAACAGGAAAATTACATTTCTCTTCCAGAGCGCAAAACCACACAGATATGAGATAGTCTACGTTGATGCACCGTAAAACTTTTAATGAGCTCGCAAGCACGGCTTCAAAGACATTTTTTTTCCCCTCCCTCATGCTCAAGGCAAGTCAGTGCAGCCTCTTGTTTGATGGACGAAATCACGGGGCAGACTCATTTATGGCCCAACTTGGAAAGCTATACATGACAATACTGTTACCTTGACAACTTGGAGCTCCAATTCCCCACCTATGAGCAGGGAAGCACACACTTCCCTGTACCCAGCCACATGGTCCACCCTTCAGGGGGGATTCCGAGGATCCTGCCGAGAGAAATACTCCCTCTGGAGTGCCGTGGTTCATCATTGAGGCCTCCTCCCGGTGGGACGTGCCCACGACACCTCATCAGGGAGACATCCAGGAGGCTAATCAGATGCCCGAGCCACCTCATCCAGCTTCTCTCACCAATGGCTCGACTCAGAGCCCCTCCTGGATGAGTCTGCTGAGCCCATCTCAAAGAGAGGGCCCGAATGCCCTGCAACAGAAACCCATTTTGGTCGTGATTTTCTTCGTCACAGCTCATAGCTCATGACCTTAGGTGAGGGTGGGTAAATCCAGACCTTTGCTTTTGGGCTCAGCTCCTTCTTCACCACGGCAGACGGAAACACAGCCCGTATGACTACAGATGCTGTGCAATCCACCGAAAGCAAACAACAAGAACTATACTCGGGGGAGGGATGGCACTCTATCCTTTTTATGACTGAAGATGCCGACCTCCAATTTGGAGGTGCTGATTCTCATCCCAAACGCTTCATACTCATCGATGAATTGCTACAGCGAGAGTCGAAAATGTCATGTGCGCGTGATGGTAGAGGAACAAAAAAAAAGCAGGCAGGCAGGAGGAGCAGGGTGGACTGAACAAAATGCATTGACAAAAAAACATTTGCAGGGTTACACTGGAAAAAACGCAAAGTTCTGAAAAACTCCAATAAAGCAAATAAAGAAAGAAACTCATGAGAGTTAAAAAAAAAAAAAAAAAAAAAACAACATGACAGCAACAGAAACAAAAAACCATGACAGTAACACAACGATCCGACAAAGACTGACAGAGCCCAGGAAATGAAATACAAGCAAACTGACGAGACCACAAGGAACACCTGGAAGTTAAGGGAGCTGATTGATTGACAAAAGGGACCCGTATGACAGCAGGTGGACCCAAAACCAAAAGAGGAAGACAAAAGCATATGAGGAAACAAAACCAAAACTTACTCGAAACAAAAACAGAATAATGCCAGAAAATCGCAGATTCATGAAGATGAAATCCATTTGACTGACGGCAGAATCCTACTGTAAAACCCTGGTGTCGATCTGGTCTACCGTTCCAGGGCCAGGACGAAAACCACATTGCTCCTCCTGAATCTGAGGTACGTCTTCCTGAGATACAACCCCTGAATAGTCTATTCAGAAACCTACAGTAGAACTTACCAGGGAGGCTGAGGACCGTGGTCTCCCTTTAGTGGGAGCTCACCATTTAGTCCGATCACGACCTCACCCAATGCAGAGGCACCGTCCCAACACTTTTCTCGACCCGCTTACCAAGCAGCTGTGCATTTTGAGCAGATTAGACTACTTTTACCCAAGGTTGGGTTAATTACAGTGAAACTCCTCTACAACGAAACCTACATAGGCGAAAATACCCCCTAGTGTGAAAAAAATCTTCATGCATTAACACTATTCCCACTTTCCTGCCCCCC